CTTATTTACTAAACAATTCTCCACACAGAGCAGCAACTATTGCATTGACACAAAAGCAATAACAAGCCCGACGTAACAAAGAAGACCCGCTTTCTCGATTAGCGCCCGGGATATCCATCTTGTCGTTTGCATGATTACCCGCCGTCAACGTTTTGAGTAAAGCCACATAAATATTCTAGTTTCGTAGTTACACGCCGCCGTATCCTCCTTCTTCTTTTGTCGTCATACTGTTACCATAAAGTTGGTGAACCGATAAAGATATGGAACGAAAGTTAAATGTCTAAGGAAAATGTTGAACACAAAATGGGATGAATTTAAGAGGTATACTTCATCATTTCACGTCCTTTTTAGGATGAAATTTTTCGTTATATGATGCCCTACTCTGGCTCTTGCCAGGGGCCGCAATATAGCCTGGCCATAAATATGGCTTAAAGGCTGAAGGCGGTTTCTGGGACCTCTCCACGGTTATCCTTACCCACATGCTGGCACATTGTGTCATCGGGTGTTTATCGCTTGTGTGATGTCCTAGTGGGGTAGAAAGTCAGTCAGTCAGAGGGGGATGAAATAGGAGAACTATCTGGGTAGCCACTCGTAACAGTTGCAAGACAAAGAATATGATTCTGTATTGGATACATCATAAGAAGAAACAAACATTTAATTACCAAAGAGGCATGAACGTGGGGAAAAAAGGATTGGGGAAGTGAAGATGCCCAAAAGAAAGCTCCATCATTTTACAGGGAGGTCGAACCCGACTCTCCCGCATGACAGACTAATAGTGTAATTGCTCGGCCAGCCCCTTCTCGAAAAACGGTGTAATTTTTTCACCACACTCTTCCCACTTTTCTTAAAATATTCTTCCAATGTCAGTCTGAACGTCGATGTTACCGTGTGCTGTGATAGTATATACTGTGTGAAGTGTTATTTGCCTCTGTACTGAATGAAAAATGCTACCAAATGACTCAAGGATTATCATCATCATCATCAAGTGCCTTACCGACTGGCGTGAGCGATCATGCCTCTCCACAATCTGCAACTGCATGTATCAGTTCGTGTGTTGACATCCCTCCATGCCATGAAAAAGGACTGTCAAGAATCTTCTCACGCTGTCTTCCTCTGTCTCTCTTTCCACAGATCTTTCCGGTGGTCACAACATGTTCAATTATCCCTCTTCTCATAAGATGACCACAAAATGAGGACTGTCTCTTTCTGGTGTTTGTGATACGTTATCTTCGAGCATTCGCCTCTCTCAAATCATCTGGGCTGCTCTTCTTAGTTGTCAAAGGGAATCTAAGGATTCTTTTGTAAAACCACATTTCCGTGGCCTCAAGATATTGTTCGGCTTGTTTATTAACTGTCCAGGCTTTACAGACATATGTTTAAACTGGCTCTATATAGCATGCGAGAATTCGTTTCCTAACCTCTAATGACCTGGATTGTTTGCATAAAATGTTCTTCATTTTGTAAAATGTAGTTTGGCCTGTCCTATTCTATTCTTTATCCTTGTGACATATCTTTCATCGGATGTTATCCATGTGCCTAGTTACTGAAATTACTGTACTTGTCCTAAAAAAACGCCTTTACATGCCGGTGTTTTGGGAGATGAGCAGGCAGATGGATTAGCCGGTTCTGCACCACTTGGTGGTGAACTGATGTATGACAGGCTGGATCTTGTAAGGACCCTTTGGGAGCGAGTGAACAGGACCGATGCAAAGGCAGATCATTACGGTCTGAGGAGAATGGCACTGCGAGGAGTTACAAGGGGATATCGCCGACGCTCGACACTCGGGGAAACGGCGAGACGGATATACAATCAGACAGTTACTGGTACCATCGGAATTTTCACTCCTCGCTTGCTGCTGAAGATGGGGACGGAGCACTTATGCAGTCGTCCCGAGGGATGTGATGTCGATTCTTAATTCAACATTTTTCTCCTCTGGTCCTGTTCTGCTTTTCAGCATCAGGTTTTTGAGAGGCATTACGTGCAAGCAAAGTGTAAAGGCTTGTTGAATGTTGAATTAAGAATCGACATCACAGCACTCGGGACACCCAGGGGGTACACCCAGCCTCTAGGAAATGGGTACCAGAGTTGATACTTTGGGGTAAATGAAGGAACGTTGCTGTAGCTACGGAGCTACGTGCAGACTGCGACACAGGCAGACAATTTTTTATCAGCTGTCCGTATCGGTGGCAGAGCAGTTATGGTTTATAACCGTTTGCAATGGCGCTGGTTCACATCTCCCCACTTTACCTTTTTTATATAATGTGCTGATAAAGGATTTCGTGCCGCAACGTTCACTTGTCGTATTTTATTGTGAAGCTGACTGCTTTTCGTTGGGTTTGATATCTTTTTATACGCTGTTTGCAAACAAAGACCATCATTGTATGTCTATTTGAATCCTATAGTATTCTTTGTAAGTTTATGAGAAAACACGGTTCTATATTTTTAACGTCCCCCAAACACGAAATTCCCGTGGAAATTCCACAGCTGACTTGACAGTCCATTATTTCAAGGGGTGCAAGTGTGCTGCTGTGTCAGTGTTGCCACTTTTCTTTGACAAAAAATATCCAAAACGGTGTCAAAAAATATCTAAAAAGATCTAAATCTGCGTGAAAAAGATCTAGAAAAAGTATCCAAATTGAAAAAGTCAAAAATTACATAGCTTTTGTTATGACTTACCCTACACAATCATGTCCTCACCTTCACTGATGTCTGCCTCACAAGATCCACAGGATAAACTTAGCTTGGATAAAGAAGTTGAAGCTTCAGATCCAAAATGACCCTGGTATGCTTTTCCTGTTCAAATTTCTTTATGTGTGGAACAGTAGGCTTATTTCTCTAGTCTCATCAGGCCGAATTTTAATTTGCACGATAGCATTTAAGAGGTCAAATTTCATCCTGTTTTTTAGGTTAGATTTGATATAATTCTTAGCAATGAAAACTCTTTCTACGTCAGCATTTGAGTGGGGTAGTATCATGGCAGACATGGCACTTTAAAGAGCTTACAGAATGGATTGTTTGATGAGGCATCTTTAAATTGTCTCACTTCACTCCAAAACGCTTTAGTTTCTGTTTTGTTTATCCATTCAGCTAACTTTATTTTGGTTAACTGATATTCTGCTTTCGCGACACTATTATCAGTAGCCCCCAAAAATTTCATAACTTTACAATATTTAGGTACGTCCTTTATTGGCTGAAGTATGTTAATCACAGAAAAAAGTGAAATATTTTTCAAAACATCTAGATTTTCAGGAAGTCTCTGTTTCAATTGCTTCAATAATGAGATAAGGAAATCTTGACAGTGTTTTCTTAAGTTGTTCTCTTCATTCTCTGTTAACAGTCCTTTTGTTTTTAAATCATCAATTTTTGATTCGATTTAATATCCAAGGTGTGGCTTAGGAGCCAAATAGCTCTCTATAGTGCAAGTGAGCAAATCAGCTTTAGAAGTTGGCAACACCAGTCTTTTACCGAGTGAAATAGCAAGATGAGATCATCAAGTAATTTAACTTTATCAACAAGTTTAGATTCGAACAGTTTATTAACTTTTTGCACTTCCATTAGAATAGGTTATAAAATAGGTTATAAAAAGAGAATAAATGACAATTTTTTTTCATCACTGTACATTCCATATAGTATTTCAGCTGTGTAGCACTTTTCACTTTGTCTTGTTATTTCAAAGTGTGTCTTCAACTTCAGCCATTGCTTAATAATTATTTCAACAGCTAGTTCAATTGATAACCATCTAGTTTTGCAATCTGACAGAATTTTCGGTGGTGTGGAACCATAATTCAAGGCTGTATATAATGTATTGTATTGCTGTTGTCTGACAAATTATTTGGAAAACCAGTAAAGTGTTTCAGCAATAAGGTATTCCAAATTCCTTGGTAAATATTTAGATGAAGCATGTGATAATGCTAGCTGCAATGACTGACGCATACATTTTTTAAGTATTAACGATGGGTTAGCTTCCTTCAACTTGGCATAAACGCCATTGTTTATACCAAACATCACTGAGGCATTATCAGTACAAATTACAGCCAAATTCTTCAAGCCTAACTGTTTGCTGATTAAAAGGTCCTTCAGTTCCTAAACTATACTTTCTACATCACACTTTTCAAATTAAACTACTCCAAGATTTTTTACAAATCGATCAAATGGTCAAAGTTTGAAATTACGCAGTGACAAATTAAAAACATTGCGACTGATACTTCAACTTTTGATGATTCATTTATCAGTATAGTTCTGAAAACAGATGTCAGCGGTGTAATATCTTTAAATGAAACTGCAGTTTTATGCTTTTTTAGTCTCTGCATGACTCTTTGAGTGTTGTATTTTCGCTTTAATTTCACACTTGCAGTACTTACAACAATCTTTGTTTATATCCCCAGTTTTTAATTTTGTCATCATGCAACCACTCTTTCCAAATTTTTTGCTCATGCTTTACTTTTGGCATGTTGAAAGGTTTTTTCAAAGTGAAAGCCACATAAGAAGGTGAGCAATTATTTTTTTTAATCACATGGAAAAGAAACGCAAAGTCAGCACAGAGAGAATACGGTTGAAACAAAGTTAGTATGATTTACGCGCGTTTTTATTAATCAGTAGTGGTGCTGCCAGATATTTGTGCGTTGACCGTAGTTAGAGTTCAAAGTTCAAGTAATGGCAGTTGTCACAATGTACGTGCCAGACCAAAGCAAAAATATTGTAATAAGTATTTTGCACAGTAATTATTAAATTGACAATAAAAGAAAAAAAAAATCTATAAAATATCCAACTCCATATGAAAAGAATCTAGAAAAATATTTACGATCTAAACGTCAAAAACAGTATCTAAATGCAATGAAAAAGATCTAAATTTGGATATAAAAGATCCAAAGTGGCAACACAGCAGCTGTGTACTGCTGTTTTTTTAGTGTTCATCTAGTGTCTTATGGTGCGACATATTTCTGTATGTTGGTGCGCATTTGGCTGCTTGATGATGCGCAATTGGCCGGTCTACAATATT